GCAGTAGTAGCAGTAGTAGCAGTAGGAGGAGTAGGAGGAGTAGCAGTAGTAGCAGTAGTAGCAGTAGTAGCAGTAGGAGGAGTAGGAGGAGTAGGAGGAGTAGCATTAGTAGCAGTAGTAGCAGTAGTAGCAGTAGGAGGAGTAGGAGGAGTAGCAGTAGTAGCAGTAGTAGCAGTAGTAGCAGTAGGAGGAGTAGGAGGAGTAGCAGTAGTAGCAGTAGTAGCAGTAGTAGCAGTAGGAGGAGTAGGAGGAGTAGGAGGAGTAGCAGTAGCAGTAGAAGTAGAAGTAGTAGAAGTAGTAGCAGTAGTAGCAGTAGAAGTAGTAGTAGTAGTCCCGCCGTTCCCTGCGAGGCCAAGATTAAGTTCCTGGCTGCAGAGGCCCTCCGCGGTGTCGGCGGCCTGGTGATCAACGCGGATGGCCAGCGCTTCTGCAACGAGTTGGGACGCCGCGACTATGTCACTGGGGAAATGTGGAAGTCGAAACCTCCTTTCCGCAACTGGAAGTTGGTGATTGGCAAACATTTTTTGTTGGAAAAACTCACCATTATTGATAGTCGGATGATCCAATTTGGTGACATTCATATGCATTTATGGATTTGATTAGATTCTATAGATTCTATTTTAGTGGAGATGGGTATGGGTCGGTGATTAAAGACCATGTGACCATATATTGTGATGATCACAAGCATATGGAAGCAGCGTGTTTGTGTGAAATAAGAGTCCTTTGGGGGTTGCTGTAGCTGCTGGATATCATTTATCATATTTATCATTCACGGTTGGATTTTTGATAGTTATCCAATTGTTAACAAGTGGCTATAACATGCTATAACCTATTAGATAATCTTATATAATTCATATCCCCACATATCCCAATTAATTCCCCCTATGTTCCAGTGATATTTCTGGTTCGCCAGGACTGATCTTGAACAAGGCTGCGAGTGACGAAATCATCTGGCACTGCAAGCATTACACGGGCCGTGGTGTCATGAAGTTCTACGAGTCTGGCGAGGCGCTGTGCAAGGACATGAACATCCCGCTGAGCACTCTGGAGGCGCCGTTGTTTTTTACAACAAACATGTGGTGACTCAAGTTGGAACACTGGAAGCCTCCAGCAATCAAACATGGCTTGGAAAATCCCATAGTTCGATGATTTTTCCCAAAACAGCATTTATAGTGGATTTCCTCTTGCCAGGTTTGAGTACCAAAGGGTATTCACATTTTGAGGGATCAATTGCAATACGACATGTCTCACCTTGGAGGCCACCCATCAGACCCACTTTGAGTCTGCCAAGAAGCAGGAGAAGGATCCTGAGGGCGGTCCATTCCCGGCCTACCCATCCGGTAAGACCTGGGATGAGCCCAGCGGAAAGACCGGTTCCGGAAAGAAATTCTTCCACAACATCATCGATGGATCCAAGGTGAAGACCGAGCCTTTCTACTCAGCAATCTGGACCAAACATCAGCATCCTAGTCATCCTATATAATCAGATTGTGGATGTTGAAAATTATGAAAATTATATGATATCATGATATATCATGCATAGTCCAGATAGTCCAGGGTCCCTGAAACTCTTTGTTTCACACACGATTTTGGGTCAGCCGAGGTGAAGGTCCTTTAAAATGTTTAGCTTGGGAGATGGGGTACCTGGGTACCTATGGGGCTGGCTGGTCAGCTTTCAAGGTTTTCCGGAAACGTTGAAACCTTGGGACCCAGGCCATCATCACTCCTGTCATCCACTACTGCATGGGTGGCTTGGAGATTGATGAGGATTCCGCGGTTGTCAGCCAGTCTGGCAAAGCCATTCCGGGGCTCTACGCCGCGGGTGAAGTGGCCGGTGGGGTGCATGGCAACAACCGTTTGGGTGGCAACTCCCTGTTGGACTGCGTGGTCTTTGGCCGTGTGGCCGGAAAGCACTGCGCCAAGTACATGCTGGGTGACAAGTTCAAGAACATGGATCTCAAGGAGCTGTCCGGTGGAGGTTTGGCAGCTGACAAGGCTCCAGCCGCCAAGCTGTGAGAAGCTTTTGAGCTGTGAGAAGCAACGAGGGAGAGTGGCAACTTTTAAATGACCTCTCTCCTTCAGACCAAGATTTTCGCCTTGAGCCCGTGGCAAAAATGAAGGCTGAAAATCTGCATGGAAAGCGCTGCAGAAGTCAATGACATCACAAAGATTTGCTGTACGTCATAGTTTTAGTTTTAGATGTTTTTTCCCGCAATCTTCTGTTGACATCATGACATTGGCAGGGCATGTGGACCCGTCCCTTGTTGAGACAGCACTTGCAGGACATTCAGAACAAGCCCATCACTTTGCAAGAGGCATGCTTCAAAGGCCTGGATGTGGGTCATGTCAGTAGCCCAAAGATCAGGTGTTCAAAATCCTTCCCACGATGCCATCCTTGAGGTGACCTGAAGACCCTGGAGGATTCTCTGACCGCCGCGGGCGCCAACATCGATGAGAAGGATGCCAAGGGCATTAGCTGCCTGGGCTATGCCATTGGGGCCAATCGCACCCATGTGGTGAAGAAACTGTTGGAGAACAAGGCGGGATGGGATGGGGTGGGGTTCGGGGGGGTTGGGTTGGGATTGGGGTTGGGATTGGGGTTGGGTGGGGTATGATGAGTGGAGTGATATGATTTGATGGGGGATAGGGCTGGGCGGGAGGGAGATGGAAGGTCAAAGGTGGCCGAAGCAACCACTACTATTTAGGGCCTTGCCCAAGGACCCACGGCTCCATCTCTGGCGCTGGGTCGGAAAGTGATGAGTTTGAAGCCTGGCATGGAGACCCCATAGAATTCACAACTGGTTTGTGGTTTCGAAATGTTTCGAATATATTTTATTTTGATGTTTCCACCCGGATCCCCACTGACTACCTCTGGTAATCTAACAGAACTATGGTATTGACCAGTTCGCAAACGGTTCAATTAGCAAAGAGAATATTTTTCGGCCCATTAATGGATGATTTACCTAGTCTAGAGTCTAGTGACTAGTGAATTTACCAAAGGTTAATATTTTTCAGGTGGCGCAATCACCAGACTTCGATCAACGTTGGAGGCCAATGCTGCGGAAGTGGACAACAGCGGCGGCAACGCCCTGCATTATGCGCCTCGAACAACCAAAGATATTCACTGGGCACGTCGATATATGAAGTTTACCCTCTGGTGAACTAACATAGCAATGGAAAATGGCTAGTTATAGTGGATTTTCCCATTAAGAATGGTGATTTTCCATTGCTATGTTAGTTTACCAGAGGGTATGTGATAAAGTTGCTGAGTTTTCTTGAAACCGATAGGCTGGGGGGTTCATGTTTGGTGTAAATTTTTTGGGTCTAAACAGCCAATGGTTTGCCATAATCCAACTCCAGACTTGATGTCGACGTTCCATACTGACTGATAGACCCCAAACCTGCCCCAAGACCCAACCCCTCTGGTTTTAGGCTCTGGTTGGTGTATGTTGATGTTTATGTCCTATCGTCAATTTCAACAAATGGGTGTGTTTGAACATCGGGTACCCCATTCCATCCACTGGTACATGATCCACATTCCAGTTAAAATGGCCATACCCCCATGTTTAAGGGTCAATCCGGGGTTTTCCACACCAACATCCATTAATCACTGGTTAAGACATATTAAACCCTATTTCTGATGGTAAAATAACATGCTCAATCCCCCAAAAGATGGTTGGTCACAGGTTGTGATGGGCATCATCTGCCACCCAGGCTGCAGCGTATGGCCGCAAGGAGCTTTGTGACTACTTCTTGAAGGTCGCCGTTTTGGGGTTGGGAAAATGAAGGGAACCGATGATGCTTGGGAGGGGGCGGGTTGGCTGCCTATTTTCAGACATCATGATTCCTTACCCCTTGGGCAATGTTTGTCAAGGTTTGCTCCCTAAGGGAGAGTGTCCTCACTGGCAGGTTTTTTTTCCATCTTAAAGAGATTTTTCCTGCTGTCAGCCCGCTCAGCCCAATGTCCGGCTGGCAGAGCTGAATTGCCAAGTATGGATATACTAATTGAGAACAGCATGTTATATATATATATTATATACACTTGTTTTCTTGTATGATTATTGATGTTTTTTTGTGTATTTGCGAATATGATCTTTGCGGACTCTGCCCTTTGCAGGCGAAGCTGGATGTGAACAAGCAGAACACACAAGGCCATGTTCAACGATGTTTGGAAGATCCACCATTTATGGTAACCTGGTAATCTAAATGTTTATAAACCTACAATGGTTATTCATAAGTATGGTAACTTATAACACAGGTTTATGCATGTTCATCTATTTTGTACTCTTCCTATTTTTTTGGCGGTTGGAACTGACGAACATTCCCCACTTTGGCAACCCAGAGGGTCTCAAACATGGCTGTTTCTGTGGTGACCCAGAAATGGCTGGCTGGGAAATCACCCAGAAATGGGCATCTATGTCGACAAAAGGGAACATCATAGAACTATTCATGGGAGGTTTTCCAGCCGAAGCTCTTTAGCTTAGTTGGTAGAGCACCCGCTTAGTCAGCGGGAGGTTGTGGGCTCGAATTCCCATGGAGATGATTACCAGAAGCTAAAAGCCATATGTCATCATTTTCCTTTTTTTCTTCCCATATTCCATGATGCCAGTGTTTTTCTTGGTCACTCCATATTTTTCGATGTTAAATCAGAGAACCAACCCATCATCTCCTCCTGGGCTGCGTCCTGGTTTCCAGGTCAAACACCCTTGGCTCTTGCGCAGAAGAACAAGATGAAGGCAGCGGTCGGGGGCAATTTCGAAAGACATCGCGCCGGCCGACTTCAACGACCAAATGATACAAAACTGGACAGACAAACTCAACAAAGCACATTAAAGTGACAAATCCATTTCTATCCATTTTTAGACAATCTAGATGATAGAAATGCCAGATGGAGGTCCATTTTTATCCACATAGAAATGAAATGAAATGAACAATCCATCATTTATTCATCATCCATCATCTATCGTCTATCAGTATAGAGGTTCCATGAGGTTCCCCTTGAACAGATGCCGCAATTAGGTATCTCCAGGATGTTTCCAAACGATTAGTTTCCAGATGTTTCCAGGTTTTCAAATTTTCTATTTTGGGGTTACACAAAGTTGGACGAATTGGAAGGATTCGGGGACTCCCCATAGCTGACCTTATGAACACCATTTTCAGGTCAGTGAATTGTAGTGAATTAGTATAATTCAGCCAACATCCAATGATCTATGATTCATCATCTATCATCTTTTATCCATCATCTATCATCTACTATTCATAATCTATGATCCGTCATCTATCAGTAACCCATCATCATCATATCATGAAACCATTAATTAATGATATAAACCATCGTTATAATCATTTTTACTCACCAACCATCATTATCATCAACCAGCCATCGGCAGGAGACCATTGACCTGCTGCAGAAGGCTGGTGCCACTGCGTGAGGCGCGAGATGAGGCGCGGCTGGACGGAAGTCACCATGAAATGGGGGGAGTTACCCTCTGGTTATGACTAACATAGCCATGGTATAGATGGCCCATGAAAATAGATGATCTACCTATAAAACATGGTGATTTTCCATGGCTATGTTAAATAACCAGATGGTAACGAGAAAAAAAATGGTTTGAACCATCAACAAGTGTGATTGAACAATGAAACTTGGGATTGACCTAGCCATTTGATGGGATTCAAGAATCAAACACGGGGATTTAACACATGAATTCATGGATTTGGGCTTGTTTGAACATAGGGGATACCCCAAGATTCACATATTGGGGTACCTCAGTTTCGGACAAACCCTTCTTTCTACTGATGCAGTGCACTTGTCATTTCTGATGCACATGAACCATGGGGTATGTATGTATGCATGCTTGTCCATGTATTAAGTCAGATTGATATTACACATATGGATGTGGCGGTGCACAGACTTGTGAATCGGCGTTTGTAGGGGAACAAATTGGCCCTGTCAGCAACATGGGTTCTCGAATGCCAGACAAGTGAATAAGTCTGGACGTTGGTTCACAGCTCCAATTCATCTGCCTCAAGATAGGCTACCCCCAAAAATCCCATGGTTTATCATTACCATGAACTACATGAATTGGTGGCAATTCCACGTCAGATTTTTTCATTCGATTACCATTAGAAATCTAGCATCAATTTCTTTTCCCATTGTTCCCATGTTTTTTTTTTCCATTTTTACCCAAAAAACTGGTGGCACCTCCACATTTTTTGGATCACCCCCCCGCACCGAGCGCGAGTCTTGGAGATCTCCGGTGCCCTGATGCGAGTCGGACGACGGTAGCGTTCTGGGGGGTACAGCGGCAGTTGGAACTAGACTTGACCCATAGCCCATGTAGGTCCGTCTGAAAACTGCGGATTTCCCCCCCAACTGGCTATTTGAACTGGAAAACTTGTGTTAAACCATCACAAAATTAGGGGTAGTCTATTTTTGAGACAAACCCATGTCACAGCGTTCAAGGATCGCAAGTGTTTGATTTGCAGTACCCCGTCATAGCTGTCATAGCTTCGCAGCTGCGCTCTATAAGGGCCCACGGTGGAATGGTGGAATTTCTCAAACTGACAGTTCAAGGGTGGATTATTCATCACCGAAGATGATGGCTATCCAATGTCAGGGAAGTTAGATTTTGTTTGTCCATATCTTTTTGGAAAGCCAATGTAGGCGCAAGACTGCCGTTGGAAGCAACCCAAGGAGGGATTGGTGTGGAGTAGTGGCTGTTTGGAGACCAATCTTCGCAGTGGAAAAGGAGACGATGATGTCTTTTCGTGGTGGCCATTGGTCTAGTCACATTTGTTATTTTGTTGACATTGTAGAGCTGATTCCAGTCAAGCAGCAGACCGTTCAACCCCGCACAGTGCCAGTGATGGGTTATTAGGCTAATACTCCCAATTGGATGAAAGTGATCTCGATAGATAGACAATAGATGATTTGCTTTGTTCATGGCTAGAACTTGGTACCAGTTTGGCTTAATTCATGCATCAATCACAAACACAAGGTCACAGTCTGACAAATATTCTTGTTCGATACCAACCAGTGAAGCCGTTGATTTTGGTTGGTGAAACGGTTTTCTTGGTTGGATCCCCATTCTTCATCATTTTTCTTTGTTGAGATCAATCGATCAATCTTTGTTGGTCAATTCCTCTCTTTGAATGAGCCAAT